GTCAGGCGGGGAGTTTGACTGGGGCGGTACATCTGTCAAATTGTAACGCAGGTGTCCTAAGGCGAGCTCAGAGAGGACGGAAACCTCTCGTTGAGCAAAAAGGCAAATGCTTACTTGATCTTGATTTTCAGTACGAATACAGACCGCGAAAGCGTGGCTTATCGATCCTTTTGAGTTTGTAAAGTTTACAGCAAGAGGTGTCAGAAAAGTTACCACAGGGATAACTGGCTTGTGGCGGCCAAGCGTCCATAGCGACGTCGCTTTTTGATCCTTCGATGTCGGCTCTTCCTATCATTGCGAAGCAGAATTCGCCAAGCGTTGGATTGTTCACCCACCAATAGGGAACGTGAGCTGGGTTTAGACCGTCGTGAGACAGGTTAGTTTTACCCTACTAAATACTTGTTGCTATGATGGTAATCCTGCTTAGTACGAGAGGAACCGCAGGTTCAGACATTTGGTTCATGTGCTTGGTCGATAGGCCAATGGCGCGAAGCTACCATCTGAGGGATTATGACTGAACGCCTCTAAGTCAGAATCCCGCCCAGTCATGATAGCAATATATATCGCTCTCCGGTGTCGGAAGGCAAAATGTATGCCACTTTTTGTGGTAGTACAAGCCCCAGTATCTGGCATTTTCTTTCTACTATAATTGGTAGTTGGTTGCTAAAAGCTTAGCACTCCACGTGCAGGTGTAACGTCGGGGCGCAAAATCACTTGTATACGACTTGAATACTGGTCAGGGGGTTGTAAACAGTAGAGCAGCTCTTCGCTGCGATCTGCTGAGACTTAGCCCTTGATCGGATGATTTGTCTTTTTTATATACTATAGAAATGTTTATCCAAGTGCCGTAGGCCAGAGTGCATTGTCAAAAGTAGACCCAGGCAATCAAATTTCACCAGGCATTTTTGGTTTATGAGTCTGTGACGATCCGATTAAAAATTGCCTCAGGCAAAGTAGACCAAAGTGCAATTGACCAAGTGTCGTAGGGTTCAGGCAATAGGGTTCCCCCAGGCAATCAAATTTCACCAGGCATTTTTGGTTTATGAGTCTGTGACGATCCGATTAAAAATCCCCCCCCCCCAGTCAATCAAATTTACCCAAGGCAATCAAATAATCGACTCAAGTAAAATATATACTCAAGTAAAGGTATGTATATATAAACTACAATTTATAAAAAAGTTAAATAATTGTTTTCTATAGACTCAAGTGTGTTTTCTTAGACTCAAGTTTTTGCCAAAGCATTAAAAAAAGATTACGACACCCCCGATTCCCAGGACGTCTCCGTTCCAAGTACTAAGGAAGCCCAGCGTTGCTTAACTTGCCAGATCGGACGGGATGGCGTGCTTTCAACGCGGTATGGTCGTAATCACTGTGTTTTCAATTTCTCAATATTTAAGAAAAAATTCTCTAAGGCAAAGTGGGCGGGGCTATTTGTTGTTCGCTGTTCGCGGGAATGGTTTAAGGCAAAAAGAAAATGGGCAATTATAAAAATGTGTGGGAGGAAAATTAGGATTAAAAAAATTTTTTTGAAGAATTAAATTTTTTAAAAAAAATAAAGCTTATAATAATAAACTTTAATCTTTTTTTAAATTTAAAGTTTATTATTATAAGCTTTATTTTTTTAAAAAATTTACTGTTATTATTATATTAAGCTTTATTATCAGTTTATTTTAAAGCAGCTTTATTCTAAATCTGATAATAATCATAAGCTTTATAATCCTAATTTTTCTCCAGCTGCAATATTTATTTGGCTCCAGACAATTGTCAGGAATTGCCATTGATAACTTTTGTGAAAGTGCCGCTGATAAATTGTAAATAATTTAGATATCTTTTGCAAAGGAAATTAAATATATAATAAGCTGTCATTAATTTTTAATTTCAGATTATTTTCGAGATTTTATTCCAAAATTATCAATATAATCAATATTAATGACAGCTTAATTACCCGCAGACTGGGTAATTCCAGCTCTGCTAACTACCTAAATAAAAGATATCTGGTTGATCCTGCCTGAACTGATGTGTTCATTTCAAAGATTAAGCCATGCATGTATAAGTTTAATCGTTTTAACGAGAAACCGCGAAAGGCTCATTACAATGGCCATGATTTTTGGTTTATGAGTCTGTGACGATCCGATTAAAAATTGCCTCAGGCAAAGTAGACCAAAGTGCAATTGACCAAGTGTCGTAGGGTTCAGGCAATAGGGTTCCCCCAGGCAATCAAATTTCACCAGGCATTTTTGGTTTATGAGTCTGTGACGATCCGATTAAAAATTGCCTCAGGCAAAGTAGACCAAAGTGCAATTGACCAAGTGTCGTAGGGTTCAGGCAATAGGGTTCCCCCAGGCAATCAAATTTCACCAGGCATTTTTGGTTTATGAGTCTGTGACGATCCGATTAAAAATTGCCTCAGGCAAAGTAGACCAAAGTGCAATTGACCAAGTGTCGTAGGGTTCAGGCAATAGGGTTTTTGGTTTATGAGTCTGTGACGATCCGATTAAAAATTGCCTCAGGCAAAGTAGACCAAAGTGCAATTGACCAAGTGTCGTAGGGTTCAGGCAATAGGGTTCCCCCAGGCAATCAAATTTCACCAGGCATTTTTGGTTTATGAGTCTGTGACGATCCGATTAAAAATTGCCTCAGGCAAAGTAGACCAAAGTGCAATTGACCAAGTGTCGTAGGGTTCAGGCAATAGGGTTCCCCCAGGCAATCAAATTTCACCAGGCATTTTTGGTTTATGAGTCTGTGACGATCCGATTAAAAATTGCCTCAGGCAAAGTAGACCAAAGTGCAATTGACCAAGTGTCGTAGGGTTCAGGCAATAGGGTTCCCCCAGGCAATCAAATTTCACCAGGCATTTTTGGTTTATGAGTCTGTGACGATCCGATTAAAAATTGCCTCAGGCAAAGTAGACCAAAGTGCAATTGACCAAGTGTCGTAGGGTTCAGGCAATAGGGTTCCCCCAGGCAATCAAATTTCACCAGGCATTTTTGGTTTATGAGTCTGTGACGATCCGATTAAAAATTGCCTCAGGCAAAGTAGACCAAAGTGCAATTGACCAAGTGTCGTAGGGTTCAGGCAATAGGGTTTTTGGTTTATGAGTCTGTGACGATCCGATTAAAAATTGCCTCAGGCAAAGTAGACCAAAGTGCAATTGACCAAGTGTCGTAGGGTTCAGGCAATAGGGTTCCCCCAGGCAATCAAATTTCACCAGGCATTTTTGGTTTATGAGTCTGTGACGATCCGATTAAAAATTGCCTCAGGCAAAGTAGACCAAAGTGCAATTGACCAAGTGTCGTAGGGTTCAGGCAATAGGGTTCCCCCAGGCAATCAAATTTCACCAGGCATTTTTGGTTTATGAGTCTGTGACGATCCGATTAAAAATTGCCTCAGGCAAAGTAGAGGGTTCCCCCAGGCAATCAAATTTCACCAGGCATTTTTGGTTTATGAGTCTGTGACGATCCGATTAAAAATTGCCTCAGGCAAAGTAGACCAAAGTGCAATTGACCAAGTGTCGTAGGGTTCAGGCAATAGGGTTCCCCCAGGCAATCAAATTTCACCAGGCATTTTTGGTTTATGAGTCTGTGACGATCCGATTAAAAATTGCCTCAGGCAAAGTAGACCAAAGTGCAATTGACCAAGTGTCGTAGGGTTCAGGCAATAGGGTTCCCCCAGGCAATCAAATTTCACCAGGCATTTTTGGTTTATGAGTCTGTGACGATCCGATTAAAAATTGCCTCAGGCAAAGTAGACCAAAGTGCAATTGACCAAGTGTCGTAGGGTTCAGGCAATAGGGTTCCCCCAGGCAATCAAATTTCACCAGGCATTTTTGGTTTATGAGTCTGTGACGATCCGATTAAAAATTGCCTCAGGCAAAGTAGACCAAAGTGCAATTGACCAAGTGTCGTAGGGTTCAGGCAATAGGGTTTTTGGTTTATGAGTCTGTGACGATCCGATTAAAAATTGCCTCAGGCAAAGTAGACCAAAGTGCAATTGACCAAGTGTCGTAGGGTTCAGGCAATAGGGTTTTTGGTTTATGAGTCTGTGACGATCCGATTAAAAATTGCCTCAGGCAAAGTAGACCAAAGTGCAATTGACCAAGTGTCGTAGGGTTCAGGCAATAGGGTTCCCCCAGGCAATCAAATTTCACCAGGCATTTTTGGTTTATGAGTCTGTGACGATCCGATTAAAAATTGCCTCAGGCAAAGTAGACCAAAGTGCAATTGACCAAGTGTCGTAGGGTTCAGGCAATAGGGTTCCCCCAGGCAATCAAATTTCACCAGGCATTTTTGGTTTATGAGTCTGTGACGATCCGATTAAAAATTGCCTCAGGCAAAGTAGAGGGTTCCCCCAGGCAATCAAATTTCACCAGGCATTTTTGGTTTATGAGTCTGTGACGATCCGATTAAAAATTGCCTCAGGCAAAGTAGACCAAAGTGCAATTGACCAAGTGTCGTAGGGTTCAGGCAATAGGGTTTTTGGTTTATGAGTCTGTGACGATCCGATTAAAAATTGCCTCAGGCAAAGTAGACCAAAGTGCAATTGACCAAGTGTCGTAGGGTTCAGGCAATAGGGTTCCCCCAGGCAATCAAATTTCACCAGGCATTTTTGGTTTATGAGTCTGTGACGATCCGATTAAAAATCCCCCCCCCCCAGTCAATCAAATTTACCCAAGGCAATCAAATAATCGACTCAAGTAAAATATATACTCAAGTAAAGGTATGTATATATAAACTACAATTTATAAAAAAGTTAAATAATTGTTTTCTATAGACTCAAGTGTGTTTTCTTAGACTCAAGTTTTTGCCAAAGCATTAAAAAAAGATTACGACACCCCCGATTCCCAGGACGTCTCCGTTCCAAGTACTAAGGAAGCCCAGCGTTGCTTAACTTGCCAGATCGGACGGGATGGCGTGCTTTCAACGCGGTATGGTCGTAATCACTGTGTTTTCAATTTCTCAATATTTAAGAAAAAATTCTCTAAGGCAAAGTGGGCGGGGCTATTTGTTGTTCGCTGTTCGCGGGAATGGTTTAAGGCAAAAAGAAAATGGGCAATTATAAAAATGTGTGGGAGGAAAATTAGGATTAAAAAAATTTTTTTGAAGAATTAAATTTTTTAAAAAAAATAAAGCTTATAATAATAAACTTTAATCTTTTTTTAAATTTAAAGTTTATTATTATAAGCTTTATTTTTTTAAAAAATTTACTGTTATTATTATATTAAGCTTTATTATCAGTTTATTTTAAAGCAGCTTTATTCTAAATCTGATAATAATCATAAGCTTTATAATCCTAATTTTTCTCCAGCTGCAATATTTATTTGGCTCCAGACAATTGTCAGGAATTGCCATTGATAACTTTTGTGAAAGTGCCGCTGATAAATTGTAAATAATTTAGATATCTTTTGCAAAGGAAATTAAATATATAATAAGCTGTCATTAATTTTTAATTTCAGATTATTTTCGAGATTTTATTCCAAAATTATCAATATAATCAATATTAATGACAGCTTAATTACCCGCAGACTGGGTAATTCCAGCTCTGCTAACTACCTAAATAAAAGATATCTGGTTGATCCTGCCTGAACTGATGTGTTCATTTCAAAGATTAAGCCATGCATGTATAAGTTTAATCGTTTTAACGAGAAACCGCGAAAGGCTCATTACAATGGCCATGATTTACTTGATCTTGATTATCTAAATGGATAACTGTGGAAAAGCTAGAGCTAATACATGCACCAAAGCTTTGTCCTCACGGAAAAGCGCATTTATTAGAACAAAACCACGCGGCTTCGGCTGCTTCTTGTTGACTCAGAATAACTAAGCTGACCGCATGGCCTTGTGCCGGCGGCGTGTCTTTCAAGCGTCCACATTATCAACTTGACGGGAGCATAATCGACTCCCGTGGTGGTGACGGATAACGGAGGATCAGGGTTCGACTCCGGAGAAGGGGCCTGAGAAATGGCCACTACGTCT